CTGTAGTGTGATGTGTGTGTGTTATCTGCTTAGTGCCTAATGTAAATATGTGTTGTGTTCCCTGGGATCTGGATCTTTTCTGAAAGATGATAATTTTGGTTTTCTTCAGGTTGACTGTCAGAGCCCAGGTCTGGCAGTATTGCTCTAGCAGGTCCAGGTTCTGCTGTAAAGCGTGTTGAGTGGGAGACGGTGCACGTGTAATATATTTTTACAGAGTTCTGCATGCAGGGTCTCAATTGGATGTTTTTCCCATTTGGTGAAATCTTGATTTGGATTTGTCAGTGGACCCCACACCTCACTGCCATAGAGGGCAATGGGCTTAATTACTGATTCTAATATTTTCAGCCAAATTCTAATAGGGATTTCTATAGGACATTGCCGTTTCATGGCGTAGAAGGCCCTGCGTGCTTTATCTCTCGGTTCATTCACAGCATGATTAAAGTTTCCCGTGGATGTGATTTTCAATTCTGTTTGGCCTCTTGTTATCATGTTGCTCTGATCCATTTACGTGTAACTTTTGCAGCACAATGCAACAAGAGAGAATTCCTGTGCTGAACTCGATCCGACCTGTCCTACCCTTACAGTATTCATCATCATCTTCTCTCCCTGCTTTAGCCATAGACACCATTTTACTCTTTAACTCTGCTATAATTCTTGTCCAAATTCAAAGAAAAAAAACACAACCCAAAGTGTACTGATGAAACATATCAGCCGCAAAAACACCCATTTTCTAACAGGATGTAAAGACAGGAAGCCTGATCACATGATCATATCTAAATATTTAATGCTGTTATATTTAGGAGCAGACTGCCTTTAACTTGTCTTAGGTCATTTAATCAGGTTTGATGTCAAGTGTGTATTATTAATGGCATGGCTATGATGTGTACTCTCAAGTGTTGTCATTTCTGAAATGTCAAACCATCGACATCAGGATATACTGTGTAGTTTGATGTGATCAAGTTAAATTACACTATACTGTTCAATAGTTTGTGGTCAGTAAGATTTTTATTTTTTTTTTAATGTTTTTGAAAGAGGTCTCTTATGCTCACCAAGACTGCATTTATTTGATTAAAAATACAGTAATTCAGTAATATTGTGAAATATTATCCCAATTTAAAATAACTGTTTTCTGTCTGAATACATTTTAAAATGTAATTTATTCAGTCTTTAGTGTCACATGATCCTTCAGAAATCTTGTTAATATGCTGATTTGATGCTCAAGAAACATTTCATTATTATCAGTGTTGACAACAGTGGTGCTGATTTAATATTTTTTGTAAACTGCTCATGATTGTTTGATAAATAGAAAGTTCAAAAGAACAACATTTATTTAAAATAGGAATGTTTTGAATGACAAATGTCTTTACTGTCCCTTTTGATGAATAATGCAACCTTGCTGAATAAATGTATTCATTTCTTTAAAAACAAAAAAACTTTTGATTGGTAATGTATGCGATAAAGTCACAATATAAAGTATTATGCAAATTGTGCAATGAGATGTGATTCCATTCTCTTTTATAAACTGATCTTCACTGGCTGTTTACTGATTAACCACCAAACAAGCATTTCAATGTGACTGTGTTTGGCTGTATTCATAGTGCATCTGCATTTCCTTCTCATCTGCAGTCTGGCCTGATCTTCTGCTGTGTACTGGTAGATCAGAGAGGATGAGCTGCTGGTTAATCCCTGTAGAGCGGTGATCAGACACACGATGATACTAGTCATGGCCATTTACAGGCCAGGCTGCATGTAGAGCGGAAGAGGAAGTTGTTTGAAATATGGGAGTGGGTGTGTGCCTGTGTGAATATGTGAGAAGATGGGTAATAAAGATTGTGGGTCTTCATACTAAGGTCTTAAAGTTAGCTATAAAGTAGGGCTAGAGTACATGGAATCTGTAGACTTTTTTTCAATCTTCACTTATTGTAGGAGGGAAAAAATACAAATGTCGATGTTTTAAAATGTAAGTATGGTAAAATGTGTTCAACTGATGACACTAGTAAATGAAAGCATTTATACCAAAATGTCTAAGAGATAAATATGCAAGTAGTTGTTGATGATGTTCAGAATCTTCGGAAAACTGCTGAACTTTCTCCAGAATTCTGTGGGCTCAGATTCCAAGCAGGTGTAGTCATAGGTTAATTGTTTTTCTTTGAAAATCAGCTGGCTGACCTACTGTTTTAGTGGCTTGGCATGTAGTGAAGTGTTCACCAGAATTGTGCCTGAGATGCAAATGCTCTCGCAGGGCCCGACCTCCATCTTAGCTAGCCTGCACCCTGCCCTACTGTAACCCCTGAAACAGGCCCAGCTGTGAGACAAACACTCCTCCCCACACACACACATAAAGTGCTCACAGCTGGAGTTTCTTCTCCCTCACTCTTCCTCTCCGCAACTTGATTATTCTTCTCCAATATACACAAATGTCTGTTCATTTTTGCCTCTTTATGTGTCTTGATGATCTTTAGAGCTAGAGCTATGTTTAGAATGAAGCAGAATGTGGGTGTCTTTAGTTTAGCCAGAGACGGAAGGAGAGATGTTGGTCATAGTCAACAATTATTAAAAACGTGTGTGAATTAGAAATGTGCATTTTGGTCATTTTGACTACTTAAGTTCTGTTTTTTTTCTTAAATTGTTAATATACAATTTAATAACAATGTTACATTTTTAAATGATTATCCATTTTCCACACTGTATATTATAATGTGATGATGCCTAAATTTGTTTGTAGCATTCAAGCACTTTTAGAAAGTAACTTTTAAAGGTACTATATAAAATAAATGTATTGTAGACAACTGATTTGAATGGTTAGTGTTTTATTTTAAATGTATTTAGTCAATATAGTATAGAATTGTAGTGTACTATTGGCCATTTATTTGTTATCTGCCATAATACATAATTTTTCAATAAATAATTATTTTCTACCATAAATAATTATCATGTTAACCAAAATTGTAATATTTGTGCTTCCCTTATTACTATCATCCCAATAAAGTCTGTTCACACCAAGAATGATAACTTTAAAGATAACTGTATTTGCGTCCACAGCAGTGTTCTGTCAACATGCCATTCTGTTTATTATATAAGCCATTCTGCAGTTAAGTCATCTGGCGCTTTAAATTTGGATGGATTCTGACTCAGCTGTCAATGTTTTCATTGTTCTTTTGCTGGGGGGGGATCTGAAAGATTATATTATATTATTATAACTTTATTGTTATAGTTATCATTATAGTTATTGTCCTTGGCGTAAATGTCTCTTTAGAATGACATTAGATCCATTCTAAATACTCAAAAGCTCAGCATATAAACTAGAATTACTGGTACTAGTGAGTATTATTAGTGCAAACAAAATGTCTTTGTGACTGTCTTTCCAAAAACCTGATGTTTCTGTATTCTGAAAGCCTGGGTTTCTTCCTGGTACAATTGACTTTGATGAACTTGTGCTCTTTTCCTGTTTGTGTAAAAAAAAAAAAAAAAAAGAGCAACCGTTCAGGATTCTCAGCATGCGTATGCACACTCTGTACATGGTAAAGGTTTATGTGACTGTTAATCAGCACAACAGGTCATTTCTTTTAATAGGGCATAATTTTTCTTCCAACATGAAAGGAGAGCCATAGGAGAGGGCTTTCCCTGGAAAGCCGTTAGGAAGGGGCTCAAGTTTGTGTTACCTAAGTGGTCAGCAATCCAGAAGTTGCTACTGAACTAATAAGAAACTGCTGCTGTATTGTGGAGGATTACAGCTTGTTTGTTTGGCAAAAAAAAAAGTGTTTCTCTTGTCTATTGCATGGAAAATATATCACAGTAGTGTCATTTATTTCGGTTTAGCTCTTAAACATTTGGGTTGTTAGCAGAGAAGAATATGGACATATACTGGAGTGGAGTATAGAACAAAACAAACCAATAATACTTGTCAAACACAAGTACCAACACTTCCTTTTAATGTATGTTTTTAATATTTAAATTGAGTTAAAATTTGAGCTAATCATCCATTGCTTAGCTGATTGTGTTTTTCCTTCCTCTAAATTTCACTTCCTTATTCCCTCTTTATAGGTGAAATAGTTGTGAACGAGGCTAACTTTGTAAGGAAGTGCATCAGTGCAGAAAGCTGTCAGGATGACCTCTGGGGGAAACTTGTGTGTACTAACTTCAAAGTTTCCTTCATTACCCATAATTCCTTGCCACGACAGGTAAGCACAGACTTATCTGAGAGTCAGTACTTCGACTTGATTTGACTGCATTTGACTGCGACAATAAGCAGTGATTATGGCATAGAATATTATTAAACACAAAACATGCTTTTGGTTTATATGACATTTTATTGTGTTCTCACAACTTTAAAAAAAGATAGATGAATAAATAAAAAGCGAAATGAAATGAAAGTAAAAAAAAAAAACATGTTTTTGTTAAGTTTTTATGAAATGTATCCGAGTCATTTGAAGAATTGCTGACTTTAACAAGTCTGCTAGCAGAAAATACATGTGTGAATTTTATTTAGCTTGCTCTGCTGTTTTCAGCGTGCAATGGAAATAATTAACCTTCTAGCCCTAAAACATCTCCTATAGTTAAAATAAAAAAAACTTTTCAGGATCTGAATGTAGGTGTAGGATTGTGAGCATCGTGGCTGTGTAGACTTAGAGAATTAATCTACACAGTTGAGCAAAATAAATCAATAGATTTGTCTGTCTTTTGCACTATAATTTGAATTTATTTATTTATTTATAACTGATCATGACAGTGTTTTGATAGAGCCACAGTGTGTAAACATTTTGAGGAAACACTACTGTTGGCTTGCATTCACTGTGGTTGACTCAATAAACTGGAAAGGACACAAAGGGCAGTCGTGGCCTAATGGTTAGAGAGTCAGACTTGTAACCCAAAGGTTGCGGTTTCAAGTCTCAGGTCTGGCAGGAATTGTCAGAGGGGGGAGTGAATAACCAACGCCCTCTTCCACTCTCAATTTCACGACTGAGGTGAGACCCTTGAGCAAGGCACCGAACCCCCAACTGCTCCCCGGGCGCCGCAGCACATGGCTGCCCACTGCTCCGGGTGTGTGTTCACTACTGTGTGTGCACTTGAATGGGTTAAATGCAGAGCAAAAATTCCGAGTATGGGTCACCATACTTGGCCACACTTCACTTCACTTTCAACTTTAAGTATTGAGAAAAGAAGGTCCACAATATATATGTGAAGATATAGGTGAAACAGATTACAGTATTATAATTTATACAATATAATACAGTTATTTTTATATTGGTGTCATGAGTATTACTCCCTACTAGATTGCTAGATTGGATATAAATGGGTCGTATAAGGAGGGAAATAAATTTCAGACTCATGTCAGGCAAAAGAATCCAAAGTTCTTTTCCAGAACAGTGAAATCTGCTACACATATTAACCTGTATAGTCACTCCTTCCTCTTAAACAGCTCACAAGTTAAACATGTTAATAATCTCCCTCAGTCGACCGATGATCAGCTGATTTACTAGGGAAAGAAGGTCAATTATTATTACAGTCCTTAAAAGCTAATACAGGTCACCCATTACACTGGTTCATACACTGGCTAGCTGTAGCTCATGAGGTTCTCTTTACTGGATAACATCAACAAACAGACTGAAAGCAAATGAATGAAAAATTATCCTTGTCTGTTTTATTGTTTACAGAGATTCCAGTGCACCCACCGCCTCTTGGGCGAGCACGATATCCCGCTGGCTTGCGTGGAGCAGGTAGTAACAGGTAATTCAACAGCACATGAACACACTCCACCACACTATAGTGGGGGTATGGGCATTTAGTATGTTACTCTGTTCCACTATTGCCCCCTGTATGAGATGAATGCCTGGGGAGTCGCTGGTTTCCTTCTTTTCTAACTTTGTTTGTTTTCCATTTCTCTTTCTACTGTACTTCAGTGCTCAGTTTATTCTCTCTTTCTGTGTCTGTTCCCCTTTTTCCTTTTCGTAAACTTCTACAGCATTTATGTTAACATAAAAAGGATCATGTGTCCTAGATGAATGACTGTAACCCTGTTTGCTTGGATTTTCCACGAGTGATGCGGTCAAATGTGACGCTGCAGTGTAGCTGCAGAACCTGTTTGGGTGACTGCTTTTAGCATAGCTGGAGATGAGCTCATCCAGCCAGACTGCTGCCTGAACCTGGCCACGATTTATCTTGTTTGTGTTAGATCTTTGCACTCCCCTCATTGCTGACTTAGCCCCCCAAGTGCTGAATTGCTGTGCTAAACAGATGAAGTCTTCTTTTTCCTTTTTTTTTACTCCGTCTGTGTGGCTTTAACAAAGGACCTTTATAAGAGATTCAGGCTTCGAAAAAAAACCACTGCATGCTCTTTGAGGCTTCAGTCTTGTCAGTAAGGCACGCGGAGTGACCCCTGGAGTCTGGGATAGTGCCCTTGGAGGCTAGCTATACTATATTAATTACAGGACTGAAAGCTCCAGCAGACCATATCTGCTCATATTTCTTTTTTTAATTTTTTGAAATTTGTCACGTGCAAGAATAATGTGCTTTTCTCACAAAAATGTTTTCTTACTTTTAATTTACTTAAATTGATTAACTACATCTTAACAACACAGTTGGGCCTTCAGTAGGTTTGGTAATATATTTACATTAGTTAATATGAAAATACAATGAAAAAAAAAACTGATTCATTTATTGCTCTTGTGTAGTAATGTTGGTAATGTAGTAATTTGATATGTAAAAGGTGATTGTGATTTAATATATAATGTACAGTAGGCTTTTTACAATACATGTATAAACAGCATGATTGTGAATGTGATATTGGTATAAACTAGTTCTGCTAATATGAAGTTGATATCTAGTGAGCATTTTCTCTCTCAGCCCATTAGTGGATGTACTTACTTGAGTAGAGGAACTCATTCTGTGGTAAAGATAAAGTGTCATGTTCTTTAGAACTCCAAATGTTAAAAATGGAACAAGTGGTTTTAATTAGCACTTCTGTATTCCTCGTTAGTTACCTTAGGGATAGAGAACTTGTTTCAGTTTGTTATTTTATTTATTACTTTAAACCTAGTCATGATTTCTTGCGCCTTTAGACTGTTTGACTGAATATTATGTAATACATATTACTCATAATACAGATAATACAGTACTCCCTCGCTCACTAGCACATGTAGAATCCAATAGTGACATTAGTAAACTTGGTGGTAAGCACACATTCTATGATACATAACACTGTAGTGTTCATGCAAGTCTGCCTCTTGCCACATCCCAATCCCAATTCTCCCCATCATTACCTGTACTCTATCTACTTTCATTATCTGTAATGCTTACAAAATCCAAATAAGACTTTTTTTATGTGTGTTTTTTAAAATAGTGAATGATGTTAAGGGGAAGCAGAAGATTTTAGGTTCCAATCAGAAGCTGAAATTTAACCCTACTGAGCTTATCCTCTACTGCAAAGACTTCCGCATCATCCGATTCCGCTTTGATGAAGCCGGACCCGAGAGTGCTAAAAAGGTACAAAACACACACACATAAAATAATTAACCTCTCAGCCTCTTGCACCCAAACACACTTGCACATGTTCACACACCTCTGCGTTCCTGGTGCTTTTGGATTAGTCTGAGAGAGGATTAAGGGCTAATGTGTTTGGCTGCAGCCCCCCGCTGAAGTCTGGGTGTTTTTTTCCCTGAAGTAAAATTGTAAACAAGTACAAGAAATTCCTACATGTTATTGGTTCCCATCCTGGAATGAAGTGGAATTATGAGTTGTAAGGCTGGGTTTTGACACAAATTTCACGATTCGATTCGATTCTCATTCACAAGCTTGCGATTCGATTCGATTACTGATTCGATTCGATGTCGATTATTTTGGATATATATCAGGTACAGTACATGCCAAATTTTCTCAAGGAAATAAATCTCTCAACTAATGCTGTAAAATATACATGAGAGTC